GAAAAAAAAAAAAAAAAAAAGTAAAAGAGTGGAGCAGTCCTGAAGATAGGTTTCTTCCAGACTGAGATCCCTCTGCCTGAGCTGGGAATATTATGTGATCACCTGCCAAAATCCACCAATGGCAAATGAATGATACTTTTGGGCTCGCCAAACATTCCCTACTGTACCCAAGCCTCAGACCCATCATCACCATGCAGGGCCCTCAACAGTTCCCTAAGCTTCCTGACTCTTTGTCCAGGTACTGATCCCCAAGGATTGAATTGGACAGCTGTGCTCATGCTCTCCAGGTTCTCTCTCCAAGATTCTGCTCTGATGACAATTTCTGTACCTGAGAAAAGGTTTCATTCTATCAAAATCTACTTCTAGAGAGATTAAAGGCAGAAAATTAGGATATTTCTTAGAAATATCCTTCTCAAATGTTAAGCAAAACCCAAAGTCTTTGTAGTGCTTCTTTTAAACAAAATTTCCGATGCTAAGTATTTGCAAAAGAAAGAATAAAAGATCAGAAACAAGACTTACTTCAAGGACACTGTTGCTGTTTTATTTAATCCTACTAGTTGACCTTGTTTCCCAAGTCTGTTAGGTCTGGCCCAATCTCACTTGAGATAGAGCTAAAAATCTGAAGAAAAGTAATTTTGTTCTATTTTGTTTGTTTTTCCAAACTACAGAAAGCATTTGTGTATGCAGATGAAGATGAAGGTCGTCCTGCAAATGATTGTCTACTGATATATGATCATGAAGGAGTAGGCACTCCTGTTGGCTCTGTAGGTTGCTGCAGTTTTATTGGAGAAGATACAGATGAAACGTATTTGGAAACATTAGGACCGAAATTTAAGACTCTGGCAGAGATCTGTCTGGGCAAAGAAATTGAAACTTTTTCTGAAGCTAACCTGCCATGGCCATCTGGTAGTGCTACCTTTCCCAACCCTGAAAATGAAATAAACCTTCCACCACCTGGCACCACCATCATTATCAACGGAGGTGCTCCAATGCCTCCCCCAGGTAGTACTACAACAATAGTTACCGAAAACACCTACACCGGGTCTACTTTGCAGCCCTCCAGGCCAATGCCTGATCCTTTGCTCCATGGGAACGTGATGGTGACTGAGACCTACACCTCCGGACCACCCTCCCTCAATGTTGATCCTCTACGCGCATCAAACGTTGTCGTCACAGAACGGGTAGTGGGGCCAGCCTCTGCATCCGATCTGCGCGGCATGTTAGATATCCCTGACCTCACCGAGGGATCCAACGTCATTGTCACAGAAAGAGTGATTGCACCCAACTCCCGACTCCCAACTTCCCTGAGCATCCCTGATCTTGTTGACGGGTCCAATGTGGTAGTGACAGAAAGGGTGATCAGGCCAGCCTCTGGGATGCCCGGCAGCTTGATCAACATCCCTGMCGAGCTATCCAACACCCACAATGTGGTGGTCACGGAGAGAGTGATGTCAGGGACTGGGATGAGTGGCATGGGTGGAGCTGGTATGGCTGGGGCCAGCATGGGCATGACCAGCATGGGTGGAGCTAGCATGGGTGCGATGAGGGAAGCATCACAGATGTTGAATGCTGCTGAGTGTCACCTGGGTCAGCCCCTGGGCACGGCCTCCCCCGGTACCTCACGGCGCCGGGTGACCAAGTACAGCACTGTGCAGTACTCCAGCCAGTGAGCCATCCCCCACAGGGCTGCCAGTCCTCACTTGCTGCCACCCCAGGCAGTGTCATTAAGTAGAATTCAATAAAAAACAGCTACAGTTTCAGGAACTCTTCCTTGAGAAGGATTCTTGTGAGGGCACCTGGCTTCAAAGTCAAACGCAGAACTTGGCCAGGAAGGGTAAAGTTCAGGTTAGCTTAAAATATCTTTTTTTTTCTCTCTCTTTTTCTCTCTCTTTCTTCAGGTAACATTTAAAACTGTACAAAAAAGATAATTGTGGTTTTTTTGGTGAAAGCTCTGATTAATGGACCAAACAGGGAGAGGGGATTAATGGGCACGTGCTGAGCTGGTCTGAGCCAACACCACATGAAACAGTGTTAAAATGCTTCATTGGTGAGTGCTCTCCCATGAGAATCAGATTGGGGTTAATGGTTCCTTACCGACAAGACAGGAAAGGAGCATGGTTAATAATTAGTCAACACATGACTAGTAAGCACATTCTGATGCATCCTTTTACACTGAATGTGATTAAAAGTGCTTTACAAAATCTTACTTTAAATGATTCCTGCTACTACCAACAATACTTATAAATAGGAATCAGAAATGTGATACATTTTCATAGCATTCTCAGCAAAATATTTTCAGGAAAATAAGTATTTCATCAGAAATGTCATGTTACTACTACAGCGAAGTTTGACTAGTAATTTACTGCAGGTGGTGCTGCAGAATTGACCCTGTTACTTGAGAGGCTGTTTGGTTCTTCTTTTTCTCCATTACTGTTACTACCATAGCTAAATCTAAAAGGACTACAGTGAAAAACAGATTTTTAATTTTTTTTTCTGCTGAATTATGATTATTGTTCAAGTCTAAAGTGTCTGGGTATGTTATAAGGACTATAATTTACCATATTGGTTTTATTTCCTAATAGTGGCAAGAGAACAATGCCTGGAAGCTTTGTGCTGTGGAGAGGCAATAGCAAATACAATACTGATACTGGAAGCTGCACTCTTTCATGAAAAGAAAAAAAATACTTAGCAACGATACAATACAAATTCGCTAATATATAGTGCAAGAGAATTATTTCACAAGCCAATGTATTTTGCATTGATATTTTGAAGATTTATTTTAATATGTAAATTGAAAAAGTGATTGTGATTCTATAATCTTAATTAAATTTGGTATTAATTTTCCCACAAAAAACAGCTCTGCTGGACTCTGTTATTCTTGTAATACTTTAACATGCTTTAGAATACTATCTGAAGGAACAAAATTCTGAAATATAGTGTATGTCACCTTTTATTTCTGTACTATATGTATTATATACAAAAAATGATGCAGTGTAAATACAATAGAGGTATATTACGAGGGATTGGCTTTTTTTGCTAGATCACAAAATCAGTACTATTTTTCCCTCACATGAAGAGTTGTTTGTGAACTTGCCACTTGATTAAGTGGAGATGAAACTTCTAGCTCTATATCCAGATTAACTAATTTCAGAAGAACAGAATGACAAGTTTGAAGTTTGATGCCAGGAAAAGAGTATCCAAGAAATGTCTCCAGATCTACTGTCAAAGACAATCCTTGGTGCCTTTTGAGGTGATATTATAGCCATTGTCATCAGTGCTCTCTAGAAGTCATTACCAAATGCAAGGCTACCTCAAGAAAGAGTTCTATCATGGCTCATATGCAAAAAAAAAATAGTACTAGATAATCTCTCCATAATACTAAAGCATCACAACTTTTTACTTTGTCCTCTACCCTTCATTACCTTAAGCATCACTTAAATTTCATTTATTTCAGTGGAATTATCTTCTTCTACATGTGATATACAACTCTAAGTATGCTTTCTGAAAACATTCTTTAAAGAAGGAATATGGCTACTAATATGCAAAGGTACATTCTTTTAAGTCAGGGCAATAGCGCTGGAATTTAGTAAAATGCTGACAAGCTCCTTTTTATTTCACTAACTACCTATCTACATAAAAACTGAATATTTGAAATATTTATAGCTCACTGTACATTTAGAAAGACTTGCAATATATCCAAGCCACTTAGAGATGTTCCTTAATGTAAAAAAAAAAAGTTTTATGTAAATATATTCATAATCATCTTATGCAAATTTGGAATATTTTTTCTTCTTGTGCTCCTAGGTTATAAAAGTAGGCTTCAGGGGCACACAATGAATTCTTTGTTACCCTATTGAGCAAGAATGTTGTGTGATGTATGAGTGTTTGAACTAACTCTGTTTTCTTGCATGTCTAGAAATAGAAAGGGGAATGAATAATTTAAAAAAAAAAAAAGTGGAAATATTTTCGTTATGCAGGGTTATTACTTTTTATAAGATTTTTACAAACTCTTTTTAAATACCAATAGTTTGTTATTTAATAAAATGTCTTGAAAGATTTCTAAATTTTTAAATATTGCTTTCTCACTTGTCAAATAGGAATCACAATATTATCTCCTCAAGCATTTCCAGTGCATTTGTGAATAATAATTTCCATTGTTTTGTAACAGGTACAAACCTTCTTAAAGCTATTTAGTGAGTGTTAGTGAGATAAGCACATTCTTATGTTACTACAGATTGCAGAGCAAAAATTTATTTGAAGATGTGAACAAATACTCAGTTCATTACAAATTCTGTGTGAAATCTTTTTCTAGCTTTATTATCAAAAGGTAGTATATAGTTTAATCCTGACTAACAGCTAGTAGTTTAGTTTCTATTTTTTCATTTGTTATTTAGAAGACTACCTGCTGTCCAATTTTAATTATGTTGTTGAATAATGATTTGATATCATATAGGAATATATGAATAGTGGTATCAATTCTGCCATAACTATTCAAGGAAAAAATTCCTATTAAAGCGTGGACAGCCTGCAACATCAACTCTATGGCTTTCTTGTTTTTACTTGAGCTTTGTAGAGTAGGATCCTACAGATTTACACAGGCTTACCAAGATCTTTATGGCATAAGTAGTATATTGCCATTGAAGCAAATACTGCCACAGATTGAGGATCTCTTTGGATTATTATCTTGGGAACAGCATCTGAATTTGAACTGCAGTCTTTTATTCTTTTTAATCAGTTCTGACTCTGTGGTAATAAATATGTAATAAATAAAACTTAAACTATTGAGAGTATGACCCACTACCTACAATGTGAATAGACCCCACGATTTAAGCAAAAATACAGAAGAGTATGGTTTTCTTGAATTTACATAGCTGCATAATTCGAATGGTCCTCTCTACATAGTTACAAAATTAATCATTTTCATTATATTTAGAACATAGTTAATATTACAGTTTTAGACAAGTTTTACTAAATAGAGATATTAAAATTTCACTTGTAACAATTTCTGAATGGTATTGAAATAATACAATAAATGATGATTTGGACCATCATATTTTGAGTAGAATGGCTTAGTGCTTTTTGTTTGTTTATTTGTTTATTTGTTTTCATCAGTGGAAATGTACTTTCCTTAAAATTAAGATTTCAGTTTTGTTTTTTTGGGGGGCAGAGGAAAAATAAATGGAAATAAAATGTGTTCATTTGAAAAGTCAAGGCATCCCAGGCTGAAATTATTTCATGTGTCAGATATATTACTCAGTTACATAGCTGCAGCTTAATGTAGCAATAACATACGTCAGATCTTGTGAGAGTTATAGTACCATTTCTTCAATTTATCATTCTTCTCTGTATTGTTCTCCCTCTCTAGACAGCACTTTCTATGAAGGACTTTTGTCCTTATACTGTGAAATAGCTATAGTTTAGTGCGGGGGCTGAAGTCAAAAAGAAAATAGATGCTTGAATAACAATCTGGGCAATGTTAGCATCCCACGTACATGCAGTTGATTCAAGGAAAAATACTTTGTTTCTAAAAGCAAAAGCAGTATAATTTGAAATCGCTGAAACAACTTTTTTTTTTTTTCTTAAGCTTCCAGGCCGCTATTCATGATAATAGTGAATTTTACACATTTATTTGAACTCAATATGATATTGTTTTTGCTAGTTTATTTAAGTTTAGTTTTAAATCTATTTATCATTTTTTGTGGACTTCCTATTTTGACAACCTTTTCACTATTGTCCATCATTATCCATCTTCCAACGTATAGCAATGATATCATTGGATTCATGGGCAACTGGTCTACAATCACAAACTAAAAAGACTAGTCTGGGTGAGTATCAGGGGATAGCTCTGTCCAATGAATCTACAAACTACAAAACTTTAATCAATACTGGGGCATAGAAATTACATGAGTGGGAAGATGAACCCTTGGACAGACGCTTTTAGCAAGAAAGGTAGTGTTTTAGAGCAGTTGAGTCTAAATGTCTAAGTATAGAAAAAAACATGTGGATGCACAAAAAGCTACCAATTATTTATAAGCAATATATTCTGAGCTAAATGATCCATTATCTTGTAGTCTTTGCTGTCATGCTGGATGAAGGCAATAACTGTGATACCAAGAAATACTTGAAGAGGCACTTTACTTGTAAGAGAGAAGTAGCAATACATTTTATTGATATCAAAACCACCTTTCTTTTCAAACTCCTCAGGGAAGCCTAGTTGTGGTCAGATCCAATCCTAGTGCCAGACTTGGTCAATGGTTTATGTATGCATGGATTAAACGCACAACTAATCAGAGATACAATGTGACAAAATTTGCAAAGTTACAGCATGCTATTAATACTTCCTAAAGATCTGGAATGGGTAAGGAATCTCCCCAACTTGAGTGGTATTCCTGCTCAAGGGAAGATCTTAGCATGCATCCCAGTGCCATGAAGGAAAGCTCAATGGGGTCTTGGACTGCCCTGTCTTTATGTGGTAAGGTGATTGACTCACAGTCATATTCACTTACCAGGAATATTTTTGTTGATATCAACTATCAACTAACTATCCCTTGGCCATTGTGCTCTTGCCTGTTTCCCTACAATCTGTTCTAAGCCACGCATCACGACCACCACTGGTGGTCATCACCTGAGCAGGATTGGGGTATAGAAAGAGAAGTCTGGTCTTGAGCAA